GTGTCCATGTGTCTAACCCCAAAGCCTTCAATATCCTCCTGAGGGAATATGTCATTTCATGCAAGAAGCTTCACAGTGACTGCGTTAACCCAGCTGCCAGTGCACAGCAGCAGTCCCAGCGTTGCGCTTTGTCCCTCCTCTTCCTCCATTTCAGTTCTGTTGTTGACGACACTGAAGTTCTTCACTCACACTCCAAGTTCAGACATTGCGTTTTAGTCTCTTTTGTGTTGCTATAACAGAAATACCTGAGACTGGGTAATTTATAAAGAACTGAGGTTTATTTGGCTTACAATTCTGGGACAGCTGCATCTGGCACGGGCCTCAGGCTGCTTCTACTCATGGCGGAAAGTGGCAGCAGACGGCAGGTACAAGCAGATCACATGGCGAAAGAGGTAGCAAGAGAGAGAGAGAGGGGAGGTGCCAGGGTCTTTTAAACAACAAGCTCTCGTGGGAACTAATAGAGCGAGAACTCACTCATTACTCCCCCCTCCCCCAGGGAGAGCGTTAATCCATTCATGAGGGATCCGCCCCCATGACTCATTCACTTTCCAACACTGCCACGTTGGGGATCAAACTTCCACATGAGTTTTGGGGGGACAATTACAAGCAGACTCTATCACATTGCTACTGCGGAACCTGAAATGCCTTCAGCCCTTGGTCTTTGTGTGAGGCAGTGGTGGGTGTAGACGATGTAAACACATGCCCTCCTGTGGGGTGCAGAGAACTCAAAAGAAAATAAATACAAGTTCTAAGAAGGTGGAAGCGAATGCTGTGGAAGTTGAGGAGGGTGAACTCAATTCTCACAGGAGAGGGCTTTTGTGCTGGACTTTGAAGAATGGTCAAGGCTTCTAGGAGGCGAGCTTGCATGGTGGAAGGAGAGGTCAGGAGAAAGGATAGTATGTGGACAGAGCACGTCCTGGGGATGCGAAAGGGGTGTTTAGGGCTGTTTCAGCAGCCCTGGACTGAGCCCAGAGAAGAAAGCACCAGGATCTAAACTCATGTACTGGGAATTTCTTCTGCAGGTGCAGACAGTACCTTTGTATACAATGGCTGGCAATCCTGAGGTTCTGAGTTTAGGTTTCACCTCTCTCACTCAATCTTGGATGACCTTGGACACTTTACCTCTTCCATGTGGGTCAAGTGGGCCACCCATAAAACAGGAAAAGCAACGACAGCAAGGGATAGTTGGTGCAACAGCCAACAGGTATTAAATGCTCCAAGGATGTCAAGTCAGGACAATCGGTGCTTAAGCCCAAGTGCCGAAATAAAGCAGAACTGCACCGTGCTCAAGTCTAACTTTGTGAAGGAAAGCTTTTGAGCCCTCTATTTTCTAGGCACCTAATGTTAGGAAAACATGGAGTTTATTATCTCATTTCACCTCGTAGACGTTTTCCAGAAGGCTGAGGAAGCATTCATTTTGCCTCCCAATGAAGGTGAGCTGCTACACGGCACTGGCACCCCAGCCACCAGACCGTCTCCAAAATGGCACCATGCCACACAGACACCCAAGCTGGCAGTTTCCTGCTCAGACTCTCCAAATGACAAATGTGACAAGACTTGCTTTTTCAGAGAGCAGCTGCATCCATCTTCCGTTCCCTTTGCTTCCTTTGGACTCAGCAGTTTTCCTTTTTGCTCCAGATAAATTGCTGTTAATTTAAAAGTGCTGCCGATCCTTGCCATTTTATGGCTGATTGCTTCTGAGTAATAGGAGGAAAATGTGTGCATGTTTGAATGTAAATACATTTAAGTGGGTTGTGAGCCCATGGTAAGAAAGCAGAGTGCTCGACTGACCTTCCAGCCCCCACCCCAGTCCTGCCCTTGGAAGAGGTCTGTGAGTCATCCTACATCAGCAAACAGCAGAGACTGAGTTTTAGGGCACATCCAGTTTTCTTCTTCTGTGCTTTCAGCTTCACATTTCATTTTTTAGAAAGCACCTGCTTTATCCTTGTTCCCGTTTAGCTCAGCTAGTGGTGTGCAGTGGTGGCAAAGTTTCTGTAAAGTAGTTTTTGATAAAAGAGCTGGTCTCGCGGTAACTACTGTGCACCATCGGAATGTTGCAAATGCTTCAGAATGTCACATTGTCAAAATATCTATATTTCAGGCTCATAAGCTAGACAGCTCGTTTGGCTGCTAAACCCACAAGATGTTCAGCCATTTGTTGTGGTCTCAAAACTTTCCCCCTCACTAAGAGAAAATAATCATTTATTGTTTTATATCATTTTTGGGTCCCTCTCTTGAGTTTTTTATAACACGAGAGGGTGAAAGTCATGAGATCCTGGTAGGTAAATTAGGGTCCTGGTTGAATTTTACTACCAACCTATTAGAAATATGAAGCACTGGATACATTTTCTTGTAAGAGAATCAACCCTTGAAATGAAAGTCATTTTTCAATGTGTGGTGGGATATCTACAGTCTGTCAACAGCATGTGAAGGTCAAGGGTATCGAAGAGGAGGCTGACTTGCCTTCCTGTGGAGAGGGCGGTGGAGGTGGCAGTTTGTGCATATTGCTTACAGTCAGTGCATATTGCTTACACTTGTAGCAGGCTGGCTGTTCCTCATAAGGAGGAGATGGTGTGTGTTTTTATGGTGGCTTTACTTTTTTACTTCATGGGTGTAGGAGCTGAGATCTGCTTCTTGGGGAAGGATGCATCACAAAAGTCAAGCAGGAGGAGGCTGCAGAAGGACACTTGACATCAAGCTCAACAGGGGCGGTGCAGCTACAGCCAGAGTGAGTGGCTGTCCAGTAGAGCTGCCATCCAGCAAAGTAAACTGTACTTCCCAATTGTGATAATTAATGAGCCTGGGGGGGCTTGAGACAGGGAAATGGCAACTAGAAGCCAAAGAAGAGTGGCCTGGTTCCTGCTGTAAGCACTCTGGCATCAGTAAACTCTTGGAGTTCCTGTGCCATAAGCCCACTGGAAATAAGGCTTTACACTAGCAGTTTAATCCATTGGGTTATTTTTTATTTTTTTATTTTTTATGTCTTCAGTCTTTTATTAATGAGGCATTGGGTTATTTTTAAAAAATCAAATGCCATTCAAAATTGAATGTGCAGAGGAACTAGTATATTGAGTCAACAAATCTCTTTATTTTGGGGTGATGTCTCCTATTTGTCGCACCACATTTCTCCTGTTTTTATGGGCAAACTTGACATCCTGACATTAATCCTGTTGTTTCAGTGGTGGAGGAATTTGAGATACACCCTGTTAAAACCTGAAGGAGTAACTAAGGAGTTTGTTTTGTGAATTTGGCATGCTCATCCTATGAGCCATAGTGCGCTCAAACTAGCTCAGCATATGTTTGCCTGGAGGCGAAACTTTTGGAAAGAGACTGGAGACAGATACAGTAACAAGGAGAATTAATTGGTGCCACCGAGTACTTCCTAAATTCTCAGGGCTTTGTGGGTGATTAAATCCATAGATGATGTTTGTTATCGGAACTGAGTTCTTACTTCTAAGACTTGGATGGGCAGGAGAGGAAATGCCATGGAAATTAAGCTCTGTAGACTGTTTTAATGTGGTTGTAAATGACGATTCAGATTGGTGTGGTAATTGCAGCTCTAGAGGCAGATGACACCAGCATTTGGCAGACCAGACACCAGGTGGAGGAAGATCGGGAGTCTGGAGGGTCGGGTTTAGAGGCATCTCCCAAAGCTGAACTTGAAAATGACTTGGGAGTTTCCATTACCATGTTACCTATTTTGTCACTTACGAATCTGATAAAGATTCATGCAAATTACACACAGAATTATATGTGCTAGAATCTTCCCTGTTCCTTCTGGGTTTTCTTAGGCACGTTCACAGAGAGCTTGTCCTCTGCTCACCATCTCCTTCTCTTGCTGTGACGTGGCAGGTGGCTACGCAATCAAAGTCCCTGGACTGGAGTCGGGGCTCCATCACACACTATCTCTCAGACCTTGGGCAAGGTGCTTAACTCTCTGGGCCTCAGTTTCTTCCCCAGCAAAAAGGGCGCAATAATAGAATCTGTCTCATAGGGTTATTGTGGAATTGAAAAGGCTTACTTGGGCACAGCGCTTAGAAGATAGCTTGGCACAAAGTAGGTTAGCTGTTATTTACTGGGCAACTATTCACTGGTCTTTCTCCATCTCCAGGGCAATGAAGCATTTGAGGTCAAGAAACTCTATTTTCTTTATTTTTATGTCATCTATTACAGTGTCTACCGTTTGGTCACTGCTCATAAATGTTTGCAAAATTAATTAACATTAGGTATTGTATATTATATGATTTACATATAAAATATATACATATACTATGTCTTACTGTATATAATATGTACACATACAATGTACAATATGCTGCATATTGTATGCAGTGTGTTTGTGTTATATATTAGATACTACCTTTCTCTCTATGTATGTGTCATCTATATGGTATGGTACTTACCTAAATTTAGGCAACTAATTAATCATTTAACGTTAGGATTCCTGAAAAAGAATCTAAATATTTGTGGTGTCCAGTATTTTACCTGTTAAAGCTAACCAGTTCTCTGGCCCAGTTGTTGAGTAACTAATCAGTTATTTTAGAAATAGTTTGGTAAAATTAGGTGGGGAAAGAAAATCAGGATTCGGGTAGATATTTGTTGTTGAATCTTATCCCACCAACCCCCCAAATAGACAAATATATAAAAATTCTTCAGGGGTCATCTTTGTACACAGATCCTTAAATTAAGCTGCAAATATCTGATATAGTTGTGGGTGAAGCCGGTTGCAGAAATCCTTTGCATTTCTCTCCCGTGTTTCAGGTACCAAGTAAAATTGGTTTTAAGTTTAAAACTACGTTGCTCAGTAATGAGATGCACATTTTCTCCTGGTTTCTATTCTGTTATTATATATTGCTTTATGTTTTAAAGTGTATTCCATGTTGTGTCTTATTTTGGATGTTTATTTATTATGTTCTTTTAAAAGTGATTGTACTTGTATGTTAATTTCCATTGATTTTTCTTTTGAGCATGACTTATGTTTTATTTTGTGTTTCTTTTAGGTTTTGTTTTGTTTCATAAGATCCCACTGGATGGGTAGCTGAAATAAAGGAAAAGACAGAGAAAGGGGCTCTGGTGCTTATTGGTTGATGCTGTCCTGTAAGCTGGACTCTTGGGACTGCTGTTGGCTTATCCCGGGAAGTGCTGCTTATCTGGGGTTTTCTGGTAGATGGGAGCGGTGTTTGGAGGATGTACTGTATGAAGCCTGCATATCCTGTGAGCTGTGATTGGGAAACGCCAATGCAGAGGCAGCTCTCAGGCAGCTAAGCAGCAACTCAAGAAAACATTTTAAATTAATGCTTCTCTTCTGTTCTTAACAATAGTTAAAATACAAAATTGAAATGAAACTCCATTGGATTGTGCTTCTCTTCTGAAGAGTGTGCTGTTTGACCCTACTGGAAATGTTTTGCTGTTATTGTTTCTGATTATTAAAGGTGAACTGCAAAGTTTGAAAAAAAAAATCTAAGGTTAGGGACAGGTATAAGTGCATACAAACAGCCTAATATACATTTAACACGCATTTTAGTATAATTTGCTCTAATTAGTACTGAATTTAAAGGGTTTGACTTTTCCACCTACAACACCATGACTAAAAGAGTTAAGGGTGTATACGCTATCACTTTGGGGACTTGGCGGTGCCATTAAAAGGGTCTTTCCTTCCTGGCAGAAAAGGTTCATACTTTTAGCTTAGGTCTTGGTGTCCTGCAATGCCAGTAATTGCCTTAAAGTTCATAAGCCAGCAAAAAATAAAAGCAGCAGCAGCAGCGCAGCTGTTTGGTCGGGCTATAGACTGAGGTTAGGCAGAGTCAGTTTCAGAGTAACTACAGAGGTGGAATATATGCATATGGCGAGATGATAACTTGGTCCCTTTTTATGTGCCCTGGGCAATCCACCTGCTTTCTAGAAGTCTGCCGAGTGAGGAGTGAGAAAGCCACAGCAGCTCGTGCTGTTTGCATGACAGAACTGCAGCTTTTCTAGTCTGAAAAGGCCTGGGGGCAGAACGGTTGGCCTGCTGTGAGCAGGAGAGGATATTCTAAGGACAGTCCCCCTACAACATACTGCTGTACTGCTGGGTTTCCACGGACGGGAAAGCTTGTCCTGACCCCAGCAGCAAAAAGGCGGCAGGTGGCTAGTGTACATGTGCTTTATAATGTCCTTCTTTGTCACTGAGAGGGCAGCCTTAGAGCCACAGATTCCTGCATCTACCCTTGGTCTGACCCATGGACACCTCTTTCATTCACTTCGGCATCACAGTGACCTGTGCATGCTCTGTTCAGTCTGCGCCAGGCAGCGTCCTTGCACTGAAAAGAGGTTTGGCTGCCCCCAATTCACCCCACCTTGCTCCTTTCTTGTTAGGGGGACTTCAGAGCCAGGCCTGGAGCGTGTCATTTAGAAACACAATCAGCTCTGACTGTTAGACGTGCACATGTACACCATGGCTGAATTGGAAACATTGGTGTTTTTAAAAATTCCTTTTTCTTTGGAAATAGTTGCTCCAGTTCTACAGTTTAGCTTTAAGGATTTATAGATTTTTAACTAGTCCAACATGTTTGGAAACATTGTTTTGAATCCTGTGTAACCAAGGCAGTAATCTTAATAAACCAGGATCCATTTAGATACCACTTGATATAAAAGGAATATTCATAATGAATACTTTATACTGTATCTTTTGCATTAGCCACTAAATATGTTATTGCTTGATGCAGACATTTCACAGAGTCCTATGGATTACAGCATTTAACTTGGCTACTCCATAACCATGCCTTACAGGGGAATAGTTTCTCCAAAGCATAAATATGCTGCTCATTCTCAAAGTTTTCTTTCCAATTCCATTTGAGTGTAAGGGTAGCTTGTCCTCAGTGTGCGGAGGTACAAATATTCTCTGAATTCCCATTTTCTTGCTTACTGCTAAGTGACAGTTTCTGTCACTCCTTAGATTTCGATCTTTCCCAGAGGTGTTGACTTACAGAGAGGCCAGCTAATAGCAGAAGTCCTGACCCCTGAAAGAAAAATGAAATTTAAACTGTGAGCCAAGCAGGGGCTCAGTATGGCAAAGGTTCTTAAATATTGGTCATTTGGTAGAAAAACATTTTTAAAGCTTTTATGTCATTCTGTGAAGCCATAAGAAGGCGTGGACTCTTTAAGGACTATTTTATAAATTTCCCAGACTCAAAAGGAAAAAAAAAAGGACCCAACAGCTAGAAGGATTGCAGGGTAGATTTTTTGTTTTAAAATGGAGAGAAGTGGACAGATAAGGCCATTTAATATGTCACAGATCCGTTGACGTCTCCTAGGGAACAACAAAAGCAGCTGTTAGAAAATTGTTCACGTGGCTCTTGTGTTCTTTCCTTTCCTTTAGATTCCTGGAGACCACAGCCAGTAACACAGCTTCTCTTTTCTTCCCTCTAGACCACCCCCTTTCAGCCTTTGCTTTTTATGTCCCCCATAAGAAAGGTGCTTTTTAGAGCTTCCTCATGGCACACATTGTATTTTTTGTAGCATTAAAGAAGGAGGGGCGGCATTTTTGCTGAAATCAGGTCTGTCGCCCTCCAGCAGGGCTCTGGCAGGTCTCCTCAACGAATGAAGTGGTCCGGGGAGCCAAGCCTGCTGCTGCAGAGGGGCAGCTGTCACCAGCCCCTGCCAGCCGTGCCCCTCGGCAATGGGGGCCCAGGTGTCCAAGTCTTGCGATAAAGAGACTCTAAGAGAAACATGAAACCTGGATTTTTATGTGAAATGTCTCTATTTTTAAAAAGTTGGCTCAGTTATTTTTAAAACATTATGTAGGCCAACAAGGCAGGGCCGTGGGCTGCCAGTTTGCTACTTTGGTCTTAAAGCACCATCATCGTTCTCTCGCTGTGTCCTTCCGTCTTTCCTTTGCAACCTCACTTTTCCTTCTTCCTGACATCACCACGGGGAGCTTTATTGCGACAGGCTGAGAAACTGAGGGCCGCAGCCCAGGGCCTGCAGCGTGTCAGTCGCTCCTGCTGCTCGCCTGGAATGCCCCGGCTGGGACCCCGGCTCTCCCACCTGCTGGGAATCCTCTTGCCACCATTCCCTGATCAGTCCCACTTCTGTGTGGCCAGTGGCATCCTGTTTTGTCTGACACCAATTTCTTTTCACCACCGCCCATGTCTCCTGGCCCACTTGGGTGCCGCCGGGGTTAGATGGGAAAGTGAAGGTCCCATTTTCATGGGTGTCCTCCATGTGCCGGTGGGGCCATCAGTGAATGGAAATCAAGGGCGTCATCTTCAGGAGATGTGGTCCAGGTCCTGTATCTCGTATGCCCAGCATTGAATGGGGTCCCCTGAGACCCTCCGGGGCAGCTGAGATAGACCCAGAAATGCCCGCTGTCACGACATGAGACATTGGCCCTGACTGGGGCAGCAATAAAAGTGGCAACGGTCCCAGGCTAAGGAGGATTCACCTCTCAGTGGGAAACCTGAGTCCCCGCACACATCAGAGAGAATCGACTCGGGGGGTTTCACTCCCAGTCTCCCAGCAGGGGCTGATTTCGTTTTTCACCCGTGCAGTTTTCTTTCCAGAAATAGGCAGCAAGGACCAGAACTAAGCAGTCGCGGCCTCCTCTGCAGCACACAAACAGAGGGGGCTGGCCCTCGGCCCTCTCTCTCCATGTGATCCTGAATTAGACCCAGAATGGCTGAGGTTGGAAGCTTCTCCTCAGACAGAGCCAAGGTCACCCTGACTCGGCGGTTCGCAGAACGCAGGTTCACACCAGGCGTGCAGCGCGCATGGCGCATGGCGAGGGGCCCCTGCTTTCCCTCCCCTTTCCATTTTCTTTGTTCTCTTAGAATCCCTGACTCTCTCTCTCTCTCTCTAGCATCCTAGATTGACCCCATGACAAACAGGGTTTATTCTCATTTGTGTTACTGGTTGCTTTGCATGGTTATAACACGCACAGCCTTTCTTCCCCATTGCAAAGTGGAATCCAAACACTCACCAGGACCTGTGCCCACCCTGCCCTCGCCCCGCTCTCCTTTCTGCCCCCCGCATTGGTGCCTGCAGTCTAGTGCTCCTCCCCTGGTTTGGATCTAATTCCTGCACAGTGCAGTAGAAGCTCGTTGCATCTTGGTTCATCTGGACGCTAGATACAGAGGGAGAGGTGGACTGAGAGAAGCACTCCATGTGACACAGGGTCTCAGCCCCACGGGCACTGCCAGCCACGTCTAGTCTGTGTGGGGTCAGCAGACATCACTCCAGGGAAACTCATAGAGAAGTAGCCGTTCTGTTAGGTGTGTTCTGCTGCGTTCACACGCCTGTAGTACCTGCAAACCATGGCAGGTTTAGCCAAGGGCATGTGGGAAGGTTAAGGACCCTCCAGGGGAGAGCAAAACTGAATATGCCGTGGGGTGCTCCTGGACTGAACCAGGTTGGCAGAACTCGCAGCTCAGAGAGGTACCTGAAAGTGAGGTCCGCCCGTTTCCTTGCTTTGGTCTTCAGGGATGAAGGGACCTCCCAGCCGTCTGATTTTGACGGTGGGGTCACTAAGTTTAATTCAGGCTAATGTTGCAATGTAGCTTTGGCCTGGTCATTAGTGAGTATCCAGAAATGTATTCTTAATTTTCATAGAAAAAATGCACGAGAAACAAAGAACAGAGATTTCTCACCGCCTTTATTGTTGGCAGACCATTTACGAATTGAGTATAAACGAACACAAAGTAGCAAGAGATTCCCAGCAAATCTTTGAGTTTCCTCCATTTCGTGTTCAAATCCATTTGCTGTAATCCACAGGCAGCCTGTGAATCGTTCTCACACCCTGTGTTTTTCCTGTAATGTTCCAGGTTTTAAAGCCATTTTTTCACATTTCCTGTAAATAGATGATAATCACTTTTTTAAAATTTTATTTTAAGTACTGTTTTAACAATGTGGATACACCATAAATGTACTTGCTGAACTCGTTCGTTTTTTAACAAGCCAATAAAGTTTTATAATTCATCTCCATGTGTCTTGCATTCTCTGCACAGCCCGTGTCCTAGCCCTCCCTCCTCGAACACATGCGTACCGTCACCCCCGTGTAATTAGCATGTTCAAGACTGAAGATGTTAGAGGAGAGAGTGTGAGAAATGTCACTGGGAGTTTGGGGGGAGTCCCAAAGCTGCTATAGGTTCTGGAATAAATCATCCCAGAAAAAAGCACTTTTAAAATTTCCATCAATGTGAATTTTATATTTATTGTTTATGATTCTTGCATTAGAAATATTTTCATTGGCTAAAAGGCAATCCCTAAAGAAAAGCTTAAGAGAATTGAAAAAAATAGAGCCGTTCGTTCTGTGGGAAAGCCCTTCAGTATTTTAAAAACTTGGGAAGACCCAGGTCCCAGCAAAAGGGTGCACTCAGAGCTCTGTCTCTCTGTTTGAAGTGGCTTTGTGGTCAAATAAACATCACTTCTTGAGCTTGCATGGGCGTGCGAGAGAGGGGAAGACAGTAGATATGGGGTAAGACACCACGGTGCCACACTCCCATCCCCTTTGGTCCCCATCCCCAGGCCTGCCATACTGCCCATTCCTCATTTTCTCTTGGAGAATGGGACCTGAAAGCAAGGCTTGTAGAACCCCTGCTGTGATCCATTCGAGCCTGCCACCACCTTCTGACAACCTGAAGGGGTTTTGCTGCAAATTGGAGACTTAGGGATTGGAAAAACGAATCCAGTATGATGTAATGTTTAGTCAAGCCAACTACACTGCCCCTCTTATAAGAGCCTGGTACTCAGTGTTGGTGACTTGTGCCTTTTCTGAACACTCTTCTGAGTTTGCTAAGCTGAGCACTGGTTTGGTCCGACGTGTGGAGGTCACATGGTAAGTTAAGGGGGAGGCACTTGACCCAGACTCTGCAGGTTTGACTCCCAGCTACACTCACAGGCGGTGTGACCTTGGGAAAGTTATTTCCCCACCCCATTCCTCAGTTTCCTCATTTGCAAAACGAGACAGTGACAGTAGTAATAGTACCGGCCCCACAGGGCTGTTCTGGGAGTGAAATGAGGTGGCCGAGGTCCTAGCTCAGCGCCTGGCCAGTGGGACACTCGATGCCGCAAGTAACCTCACTTGGAAGGCACTTCAGTTGGCACTGCCGTCAGCTGTGCCTTAGATTTAAATGCCCACGAGTCACAGACTCACTTGCATCTGTTGCTCCTGGGCCGATAGTGTGGGTGCAGATGGTGGAGACCAAGTGAGGCGAAGCTTCACTCACAGGCCGCCCGGCTGTGGCCCGAGCTATGAAGGGCGCGTGGAATCTGTCTCAGGAGCTGCTGGGATTCTCTCCCGGGCCCTCCCCTCTTCCCAGGCCATTCTGGCCTGTGGATTCCATCTCAGATTTGATTTTGAGAAAGTAAGAGAAGCCACGTTGTTTGGGCTTGTATCATGACAGTTGAATGAGTTTGAACGACGATCTTGGATTTGAGGGTTCTTGAAGAAATAGTGCTGGATGTCATCCCAAATGCGTCTGGTCTCCTTGTCCTCGCTTTACTAATTCAGAACTTCTGCTCACTTGAGCAAGGGTCTACACTGACTTGAACTCTTGAGTTATCTATTTAAAAATTGTTGGCTAAGAATATAAGTAACAACCAAATGGGCTGAGAGATGGAAAGAAAAGACGTTTCGAGCCCCCTCGAGCCTTAGAAACAAGTGCTGACAGGCGGCGAGCTGCAGACCCCCCGGCTGCTCTTTCCTACCTGCCCAGGTAGTCGCTGGTCAGAGCTCCAGCAGGTCACACCATTGGCCTACCCGGAAACGTCTCATGTTTGAAGTGATAAGATTTTATTTTTTAAAAGTACTTTGTAATTTGGACTTTTTTCTTATCATTAAACCATTTTATGTCCGTGGCACTGGCGTTTCCCCAGCGCTTCATCTAAGGTGCTTTTACCGCTGCTGCCACCGTCTCTCACATGCTGCAGAGCAAGGTCCACACAGCACCCGAGGGGCGGTAACAGTTACAGGGTTTTGACTCCTCACTGCCAGCCACGCACCGTTGTAAGTGCTTCCTGACCCTTCCAATGACCCTGTGAAGCTGATGTTAATATTGCCCCCGTTTTAAAGATCAGGAGGTTGAGGACCTGCACGACGCAGGAACTGCCCCAGGCTTCCTGGCTGACAGGCGGTAACTCCAGGGCTGGAACTCTCAACAACTCCCTCTGTGGACAGCACTCTTGAGCTGGGTGGGTCTATGCTGGGGCCAGCCAGTGCCTACGGCCCCACATGGAAGGAGCTGGTCACTCTCAGGGTCATGCAAGTGCCCAGTGGTCATTCCTTCCAGCACTGGCAGATGAGAAGAAATTATTGTTGTGGCAAACTGGAAATATAAGGTTAACTTAGGTCACTGGGGAGGCGTCCCCTGGTCCCAGTAAGCCCTTGGGCATTTGTGCCACTAACAAATCCCTCACAGATCGTGACTTGCAAGTATGCGGAAAGGTAGTGAAATCGGCACGTGCTTTCTAAATTTTACCGTATGAAACAGAGACGCTGCGTCAAGGATATATTTGGTGCTGATTAGCTAATGAAACCCCGGAGCATGTCTGCTGTGTCCACCGTTCCCGAGGACAGATTTGTTGTTTTTGATTGTCCTCGAGTGAATTTTCTCATCACTCTCGATCTTTACGACTTCCTTTCCTTTTGAGTGTTCCCGCCTCTCCAGGAGCGATCTCGAGGGAAACCACCTCAGTGGGGTGGAGGGGCGTGGTAGGAAGGGTCATATGAGGACACCTCCTGCCACCTCCACGGACAGGATCCAGACAACAGAACGAGGTATCAGGAAATTCCTGAGCTTTCCTTGCCTGTCAAACACCAAGAGGCAGAGCAGCATCAGAGCAGCTGGGTCAAGTTGATGCTCCTGTCCCCAAATGTCACGTCTGGCAACTCGTGATTGAATGAGACTGCTGAGCACACATACTAATTTTCCAGTCATTTGGTCAAGCCCCATCTCACACACCACAAGACCCCGGGGCCTGTATTTACCGAATTAAAATCTCTGCCCAACCGTAAATTAATGAACAGTAAGTTCTCTCCCTCTCTTTTAAAATTTGTACTCTGTTGCCAAGGAGGAAAGCAGAAACCTCTTTTGTGTTTATCTGCCACACTTCCACCTCTTTTTAATGACTTTCATACTGTAATCAGTCTTGCTGAATTGTTAAATAAAAATGTGGGCCACGGCTGTTTGCTTGAAGGATGATAATTCAGCCTCAGGTAAGTGCATGCAATTTCACCTGAAGCCCCTTGCATCAGTGTGGGAAGTGCAGAGTTGCCAGCACGGTTTTACCTTTTGGGGGCAGCTCTCAGTTTTTACATGAACTAGGACATGGCCCCTGGGGTGCTTTGGGCTTTTCAAAGATGACTCCCTGCACAGAGTTCCCTCTTTACCTGTGCTTCCGGCTCCTGGCTTTGGGGACTACCTGGCCATCACCCTTCTCTAAACACTGTTGAGTGGAAGGCTGGGGCTGCGGCTTCCCAGAGCGCCCGGCCAGTGGGGCGCACTAGCAGGTGGCGGTCAGGGCATGTGTGCCATGTCCTCTGCATGGAGGTGCCAGCTGGAGCAGGGCGCATCCCTCCAGATCTGGAGTGCTGTGGGGTCGCTCCTCCGCTGTGGCAGCAGCGACACTATTTCCCCATCTGACCCTTCATCCCTAAGGTGGTGAAGGTTTCCCAGGTTGTCAGTCTCTTGGGGCCTCAACATTTCCTCTTTGTCCCTTTAACCTGCTCACGCCTCTGTGTAGTCCCTTTAGTCTTTTCATTTAAACCATCCGGTGTGAGCTCTTTTTCCATTATAGACCCTAATAAGACATATAGTAAATTCTTTAATATTTTATCTTGTTTTCTCTTGCATCAAGTCTATTCAAAATCCAGTAAATATTCATTAAGTGTCAATTATAGGTCGGACATGAGGTAGGCGCTAGGGGACACCACAGTAGACCAAATAGATGCCATCTCTGGCCTCCTGGGCTGTGGACTAATGGTAATATCTGCACTGCTGTACTGTTGTTAACCCACAATTTGCATATGAGAAAACAGAGGCTCAGAAAGTGAGTAACTCATCCAAGCGCACACAGATCAGATCCATCTGCCTCTGAGATCCCTGCTGCTGGCCCTGCTTCTCCGAGGCCTGCACTCTACCCCACCCCTCACTGTCCCCACGCATGTCCCCGTGGCTGCAAGTTCTGAGGTCGCCATTAGACCTCTGCTCTTCATCCCAGTGGCAGTAATTCTTCTGAGCCAGTGTCAGCTGGTGTAAAGTATCCCTGACCTTGTTATCTGTTTTCTCTTTTTTTCTTTTATCACTTTTCCTTTAAAAGCATTTCCTCTCCTTTTCCTGTAGTTCTTTTTCTACCCAACACGAACACCATGAATATGCTCTGTACTCCTTTAATTTTCAGACATTAAAATTTTAAAATTGGTTGGGTGAAATGTGCTTATGAGAGATTGTGTGTGTGTGTGTGTGTGTGTGTGTGAGAAAGAGAGAGAGAGAGAGAGAGAGGGGCACCATTAGGGAAAGCGCACAGTTCACACCCACACACTCACACACACGCATCAGAACAGGGTCACTGCACGCCTCCAGCCCTGTTTGGCTCAATGGGAATTTCACCCCAGTGCATGTACCATTCATCCCGTGGTCACCTCCCCAGGTCTCACTGTGCTGTAATGCTCCCAGCTCCTTTTAAAAAACTTTCCATGTTGTATTTTTTGCTTTTTGTTTTTATTTCCTTATAAATACTCCCAAGAAGTTTTATTGAGAAGAAATGATTGCAAATCCCAAAAGGTTGGTGTTCCGTTCTGAGCTCCAAGATGTAAGGATTGAGTGGATTTCAAACTTGGCAAAATGTCTGACTTGGCAATTGCTTCCGTCCTTATTTATGGCAGCTTGGAAACTTCCATGTTCCAGGGTTTATAAACGATGCTGCTGATTTGGTCTCCCTTTTCTATTTTGCTGTGAATTATGAAATAACCAGCCTGAAG